ACAATTAATACTGAAAACCATATCATTCATTTTGGTAAAAAACATATCACTTTGTTTTGTCTGTTTTTCAAAAACGATGCCGGGATATTTTTTGTGCAATTATGAGAACAATAGCATCTATGCGCCAATGGGTGTTGTATAATCTTAAATATACCTTTTGATATTTAAATGAGCTAGGAAACACTGCTTCAATAGACCATTGAAAATATCATTAAAAAAAATTATAAAATTTGAACATTCCCATGGTAACATGCTCAGTTGTGGCAAAAAAGAAAATAGCTTGCGTACAACACAATCAAAGATGAAAACCCTATAATTACCTTTGCTTATGTTTGAACAACGATGCCTTTATATTTTACAGGTGATAATGAGATATATATTACAGGTGATAATGAGATATTATCACAAATGATAATTGAAAAATTGTAATTCTTGACGTTAGGCAGCTGTTCAAAAACCCTTCTTTTATGATGGAATGAAGAACTTGAAGATCTCGAGCAGCAAAGGAAGTACAATGGTATCAAGTGTGAAACTGTCATTAAAAATGACGCAGCTTGAAAGAGCTTATTTTAAGTATAAAGAGGTTTTTTTTAATTTTCACCAAAAAACACATTTTGAAGCAATTATATTAACTCAATAACACATATCTAATCAGGTCTTGTTCCTAGTCTTAGAAACGTATTCCCCAAATTTCATTCGAATCAAAGGTATTTCCAAGGTAGATATAAAAAAAATGTCCAGATATTCTCCAATGGTTTATTTTTCCACAATGCCACTGCCATATTCAATCTTAAATATGTTAAGACTTTTTTTATTCATCCCAGATAATATGTAAAGAAAGATTAAATTAGGATAACACTCAGCCAATCATAGGGAGCCTCGTTGTTGTTGGACATACATAAAGTGACCATTTTTGTTATCCCTTTTCATTCATCGTCCAGAACTTGCCTTTATAAGCGGACACTGTTTGTGTAAAGACTGCTAACAAAGAAATCGACTGGTTACATTTGTCATCTCTTGGTAAGTTATAATGCCCTCTCTTCATCTTTTTCCTTCTACATAGAAAAAGACGCTTTATAAAACATCGCATGCATGTACTCTTACTTTGCAAGCTTCCAATTGTAACTAAACTTTGATCTTTAGATCCTCATATCTAGGTCACTTTGCTGTTGTAAATTTCTTATGTCTACTAACTCATTCGAATTCACAGCAGTTTCATTGGTAAATCCTCATCTCTTTCGGTGTTAATACCTTATTCATCTCTGCATCCAAAAATTTAAAGTTTGGAGTTTCAAAGAAAACTTTTTGCTGCTCGTTCAGCTTTCCTGTGATAACGTTTTTCAGGTTAACTTGGCGAAAACATGTCACTCAAAGAAATCATGAAAGATGTTAATGATAATCTTGCGAAAGAGAAAAAGAAACGAGCCAGACTGAAAGACCTGGACCTCATTGTGCTGGACAACTCACTTCGTGAGAGCACTGTGGGTCAGCTTCGTGGGCACACATTGGAAAACAAGCGTAGGATTTACGATGAAGTCAGAAAGTGTGGATTCCAGTTCAAGATTGTGGCAGCCTATTCCCATATGACACGCGTGGATGACTACTGGGTCGCTGCGATCGTCCGTGATTGTGAGGAAGGCAAAGAAGACCTGGGTAACCTATTTGCATTCAGTGAGTTTATCGAGTCGATCTCTCAAGGTATTCCTGACACCAAAACTATTCCAGTGGGTCTGAGAAAGATGCAAGAGCAGGGATTGATCAATCCTATCATAGAGATAGATTTGGCCATAAAAAGTATGAACTGGGAAAAATTCACCACGAAGGACATGTGCCTACTGCTGACTGAAAGATTCAAATGGAGCCGAAAATATCTGTCCCCAGATGCCAAGATCCTGGTAAATCTAAGAGACTTTCCAGACGCCATGGTCTATGAAATGGAACGACTCTTACAGGTTGTGAACTTCATGGCATCTTTACCTGCTACGGAACGTCCTTTTGGAATTATCTTTGAGGAGCCAACAGGCAAGTATTTGCCTGAGGAGGTTGGAGCTTGGACTGCTGGTAAGGCGGTATACTAGCTAATTTCAGTCACATAGGAATCCGAAACTGAGAAAGCAAGTTAGCCTGTTGTAAGCTCAAAGCAAAATATGTAAATGGACTGTTAAAAGCACTTGAAATTTTCATCTTATCCTTTCTGAATTCTTATACGGTTTGAAAACTTGTTAACAGTGTCATTCTCTTAAATCAATTTTTTTATCTTATGGTATGCCGCAGGTGTACGAAAGATCATGGACTCCCGCGGTTGGAGCAATGGAAACCTCTTCGTCCATGTTCACAAGAAGTGGGCTCTTGGAGAAATGGTGCAGCTTGAATGCCTTATAAACGGAGCTAACGGTATCTGGGCAAGCGTTTGTGAAGAGGGAGCTGCTCTTGGTCACGCATGTTCTACAGTCACGCTGATGAACCTCGTTCGAATGGGGAACGAAAAGGTCCTAAAACGCTACAACTGCCCCGCCCTGAGGGACGCTGCATCTAGCGTGACTAAGATCACCACTGGCCTTCCACCCCATCCCAAGCAAGTCATCTATGGCGACAGGGCGCTGGACTTAGCATTTGACTTTGGAAGTATAGCAGGTGGAACCGTTGGGGAAACCGACTTTGACTTAGCGGCATTCTTTGGAGTGGAGGCTCCGGTGAGAATCAGCACCCTTTCCTCCGAGCGTATGATCCAGGAAAGGCTGATAGATCTATTTGGTGAGGATAGGCAGTTTACGATGGCAATGGCTGAGGCTATGAAAGAAAAAATGCTTGAAGACCTGAGTGGTAATAGGAAAGAAGAGTACATGAGCGAGGCAGGTATAGCATTGCTGTTTGATCGCGCAGGAGGAAAACTCACGGCCAACATGGCTCGAGTGATTCAACGAGTGAAAGTTACGAGTGTACACGCCCAACATCTCATTGAAGAGGTTCGCAGTATGTGGAACGAGTGGGACATCGAGGAAGATAAACCAAATGACGATCAGCTAATGTTCCGCTCTTTCTACAACGGGTTCATGGCTCCTTACTTTGGTTGCTTCATGTGCGCTGACACACAGAAGGCCTTGCAAGCCATCAACATGGATAATGACGGGTACATCGACTGGAATGAATTCCTGGTTTACCTCAAGTGGGCGGTGCGTGAATATCCCAACATCAAAGATGTCGATGAGTTGTTACACGTGGCCTTTAATAAGGGAATCATTCCCGCCATGCGAGATGAGATCCAGGACAAAGAAAGCTTTTGAAAGGCAGTCTACAGTCACAGCCCCATAATATCAACAAGTTATAACTTCGAACTTTATTGACAGTGGTTAACCCTTAGAAGGTTCAGAATTATAATTTCATTATATGTCATAAGCAGTGTTAGGATTCTTACTTCAAGGCTTTCGCTATGCAAGAAATACCGTATTGATGTTTAATTACGGTCCAACATAAATTTAATATTTTCATTGATTCACTAATTCTTCTCTAAAATGAAACCAGAAATGGAGTCTAGAAAATTCGTTGTTGAAAACGAGTAGTAGGTTTCGACCAAATTAATTGCCAAGGCGAGACTTAAAATGTCTCACAAAAAGATCAATTAGTTTATAAATGTAGAGGTCTTTGTAAAATTTATTCCTAATGCACCGCTCAGTGACTTTATAAGTTCATTTTAGGTACTGAAATATCCCTCAAACGACATGCATGCGATTGACATAAAAGGGGCTTAAAATAGCTTGTGTTTTGTGATTTTTATCCATGTGTTTCGATACCTCATCCACCGCTTGATTTCCATCTCATGTGAATGTTTCTGTTTATGTACATTCATTAACAAGCAAATCCACAATTTAATGTAACGTCTTAAAGCATCTTACGGATGTCATATCCTCATCGAAAACTGTGAAAATGTTTTAATTGCTTGGGTCGGTGCCTGAATGAAGGTTCTCTTCCCACGAAGACAGAGGCATTTTTCCTTTTTCCTTATTAACTCGTGAATTGCGCGCATGCGCAAGAGCGAGTTATAGATACGATGTGGGGAATGCCATTCGCTCGCTCGCTCGCTCGCTCGATTGGTCAATGCCTGTAAACGTTTTTTAGATTTTAGGCTTTTGAGTGCATTTGATAGTTTTTGGCGAGCAATAAACAGACGAAATGGCGACCTTTGTTGCTAAGAATAGTGGTGGGGTGAAAAAGAAGCCAATGATAATCTTAAAAGAGTTTTTTTTTTCGTTTTAGTTTTAACAAGCGGCGCCAGCGACTGGCAGGCATGCAAGGATTCACACTGAAATAACAGAACAACCTTCGTTTTTCATAAAATTGTAATTTACAATCCTTGAACTTGAAAACAATCCGAAGATTCATTGAAAATATCACTTACTGCGAAGCGCTCGGAGTTTACAGATGTTCAAAAGCTTTTTCTGTTATGGCGTGAGATTGAGGACAAAATTGATCATTACGTTTCGTCGCGTGTGTTTTTCCTGTGTGAAGCAACAAAAGATACCGGCGACTGACGAAATAACAAGTTAACACGAAAATCATATAACACCTAAACAAACAATTTTAGCTACCGATTTTCAGTGAATTTTTAAAGAACAATTTTCTTTCAAGTTTCAAGACAATTTGAAGATTCAACATACATACAACGTACTAAAATGCGAAAGTTACACACCACAAAATTAGTAAATAGGCCTGAAATGAAATTCTATCTTGTTATTGATTATACGTTGCCTAGCACGTGACTTAAATCTTCCCAGGCGAAGATCCAAAATGACGGGGCTGTCCTGGTGTACCGGTACACGGGGGAATTCCTACTGTTTTCATATTCATTCATTGAGTTGTGACGCAGTTCGTTAATGTTTCGTTCCTTTGTGTACCGGTACACGAGGACACAACCAAAATGACGGTGGCAGGCTTGGCTTAGTTATATCACTCGAAACTCGTTCCCGTTTGTCTCATTTGATAAAGAGGGAATCGTTAATGTTTTCATTAAGACAGTATTGCCTTGATTTGCTAATATTTACAACGAAAGACATTAAATTTCACTTTTCACCCACATTTACTTCCAACCTTTTCTTTTCAATTCACGAGTTTGCTCAGAGAGCACTTTGATTTCTCCCTTTGAAGGGAAGTTTGGAACTCGACCCAGGCTGTGCGCCACTCAAGCGCTCCTTTCGCCAACTGAGCGTCTGGAACAAGCAAAGGAATGACGTGAGGTGTTTGGTTCGTCTTGTGGGGCTGTTATAGTTAATAGTAAGGAAGACACTTTTATCAAAGACAATCTTTAGGTATACCTCAACCTGAAACCGACGAGGTAGCTGTTCTTGGTTTCACTCAAATAGAGGGTTTCGCTGAACATCTGCAACAAACTTGAGTCTGTTCGCATTTTAAAATCTCAATTCACATTTTTTTAAAAAAAAGCTTTCCTGACAGATGAAAACTCCCTTAGACAAATGAATTTGCAGAAATCGTTTAGAGCTTCTTGAAACAACTAATTTTTTTCAATTTGGATTTCCCATCATCAATTTCTTCTTGTTTGGAGGTTGCATTTTCTGGCAGTTGGCCCAACCTAAGAATCAGTAGTCATATTTTTCACTTTTGCGACAGGTGGCATAATAAGTATCAGCGGATGTGCTGCCGGTTGTCATAGTAATAAAGAACCGGAAGTTAAGTTTAGTGTTTACCGCGGCGAATTACCTCTGTTTGCGGATTTTCCTTGGAGTCCCCGAGGAGATGAAATGGGCGCCGAATTTATCCTTCAATGGATTTTAACTTCTTGATTACCTCGTTTCCAGATCCTTCACTTTCCTTCTATTTTTTCTAGGTAAGTGTACTGCGTTTGTACCAAATGCGAATTTTATGGTGACGACGAAAAAAATATTATAGAGGAGCTTGTTCCAAAAATAACCGTGGCGAAAAAAGAAACAAGATCGGCCGAATCAGGGAAACATATGCTATGCATAACAACCGCTAAGCAAATCGGAGATTCATTTCTTTAAACCGTGTGTTATCTGAATTTTAGCACCTACAAAACAACGTTATTGCAAATCTTAGCACGAAGTTGTCGTTCAGTTATTCTCAACATCGGGTAATTCATCAACAGTTGTGCCTATGAAAAAAAATCGAAAAATGTTTAGCCTTGTGTCTCGCTCAGTCTTTTGCTCCAAAAAATTAAGGTCCCGTGTATCATTAAATTTTATCGGTTTTGCAATTTTTTTTCATCTAATGCTGGCGGTTACTGTGTAACCACCGTGTTCATAGAATGATGAAATGTAACAGATATCACAGGCATATTGGAAATTTGAATTATAGAACAAACAAGAACGAAAGGCTCGGACGATAAACGCAGGTAACAGGTAAATGTTGCGTTTTGACCAGAAGAGACAAAGCATTTTTTATAAACCACTATAATCTGCGCTCTAATTCTTTACATCCCTACCTGAAGAATAACTAAAAAAAAACTTGAATTTCCATAAAATTGGCTGAATTATTTCCCAAACAGGTAAATGTAATTTCTGGGCCTAAATATGGAATGAATGTTTTTAATTTGTCGTTAAATGTTTTTTGTAGTCTAAATGCTAAACACCACGCTGCAAACCACAATCTCGGCAGGTATCCTCTCTAATAAAATAGTAAAGAATATTTCCTCTAAAATATCGGAAAAAATCACCAATTTGCGCAATGAATCAATAGCAAATAATAGTCCGCACAATTCCTCTTTCCTTTTACACATAGTTGGAGAGACCTTAGGCTTTTCAGTTTGTTTGCGCATAAACCAGCACGCAAAGTTTAATTAAAATTCGTATTTTTTCCTCAGACGAACGCCTTATGCGTTCAAGTATAGCAATAGATGATTGCAACTCCTGTAAATCTTAGTTTGAACTATTTAAAGAATGAATTCAACCTGACTTGATGCAAATTAAGGTATTCAGCCTCCCTTTGAAGACAATAACATCACGATGTGTATCAAAACAAATGGATTTGAGGGAAAATTATGGGCATTTCGCTGTTACAGAAGACGAACGAACTTACTCTTAAATAAAGTCAAACAGTATATATTATTCATTTACTAGAAAGGACGAAAAAGTGTTTACAAGATTGGAAAAAAACGTTGAGTATAGCTTGACGACCTTTTTCATTAAGAAGACAAACTTAAAACATTGAAAAACATTCCCCGCAGAATTAAGAGTTTGAGGTTTGAGTGTATTTCACTAATGTAGCATGGATCCGGACTTTCCTGATTTCTACAGGCTTTTCGTCATATCTTCGGGTAGAAAAAGTAGCGAACCTCTAAGGTGAACTTAGCCAGCCATGGATAACAAGGAGATTTGCGACCAAGCAATCAGTCTGAAAAGCCAAGAAGAAACTCCAGCCGGTACAGAAAAACAGATTGAATCTGATAACAATGATGCCGCCAATGAAGTGATGTTGCCAGGTGAACGAAGTACAGGACAGCTTGCCATTCCGAGGTAACAATAAGCACTGATACTTGAACCCATTTCAGTACAAACAACTAGTAGCTGACGTTATTTTAACACGTCTTTACCCACTTACCAGCGAAAGGGATCCCAAGCTTCTCAAAAGGTCACACAGAATGAGAAACTCCTCGACCTCGTGTAGATCTCTCTTGGTAAGAATACATAATTTCTGCCACAACTGAGGAAAATTGAGTTCAGCTGTGGCTTTCGAGACAATGAGTTACGACGCTTTTTATCGACCATTGTATATGCTCCTAAACTCAGATCTTAAAATCAGTTTGCTTCTAACGTCTCTTTGTATCTCTTTTTCCCAAGGTACTCAGCGGTGCTAGCAAAATACCCGTATGCAGTGTTCTTTGTGACATCCCTATTGATTGTGATTTGTGGCCTTTGCTCTTTTGTCCCCCAGTTTAGTGCCCCTGATATTCCAGAGTTTTCAACTCCAGTCAAGGTAAAGTCATTCATATTGCTCTAATTTTTTTTTTTTTTTTCATTTTTCTCACACAAGAAAGTTATGCCTCTCTACTGAAAAGAGTTCAGTAACTGAAAATGTCTTTCTTTCACGCAGGGATTCGAGCCTCGTGGAACACTTATCAACAAAAGATATAGAGCAGGAGTTGTTCTTGGCAAAGCGGCGAGTAGTGGCTTAGTTAGAATTAGTCCAATACCAAATGTGACCATGAGCACTTTAGTCAACATGTCCTCCCTTTATGGACACCTGACCACACCTAACATAAGACAGAGGAAAGAACAAGGGAGAGAAGGAAGCCAGCGTCACTTCAAGAATAGATATCGCCTTTCAATGTGTGACAGTCCGAATGTTTTTATGAAAAGCACCATTAATTACAAAATGGTATTTGCCTCAACAACCTCAGGTGGGAATGTGTTCAATTCTGCCAGTTTACGGGCTGTGTGTCAAATGGAAGAAATAGTCGTGAGAAAGACAACGGGTTTTTATTCAAACTGCTTTAAAAGGGAGCTCCGTTACAAAAATTTCACATTCAGAGACTGTTGTCCCAGTTGGTCTGTTGGTAATTATATTGCAGCTCTCTCAGGAAGATCATCTTGTCAAGATATATCTTCAAACGATGTAGAACAAGTTCTATCAATTTTACGACATTGTGCACCACTTTTCAACAACGCGACGATCAAAGAAAACTGTTGGAACTTTAAATATAATATTGCTTATCCAGTGTGTCTGGGACTTCCATTAGAGTGTGTGAGATATAACGCGGTCCACAATATTCTATACTACCTGACAGACAAAGATTTCTTCGCAGCCGAAGGAGAAAATTTGATTTATACATCAGTTCTGAGCCCTGCGACAAGCAATAAAGAGTTCAGAAAGAAGTTATACGAGAAACATATCAAAAACGGACATTTGTCTGATGGAGACGTAAAGTTAGTAGCAACGGAATTTTACTTCTTGAAATTCGACATGTTCAACATCAAGCTATTGGCGGACATAATTTATCCATCCATAGCAATGTTAATTATTCTACTCATCATGTGGTTTTACACGGAGTCTGTTTTACTCACCGTCCTTTTAGTGCTTTCTGTGGTCAGTGCTCTGATCATTGCTTATTTCCTCTACACGATCGTGTTAGGTTTGAATTTTTTTCCATTTCTAAACATCACAACTCTTATATTTCTGGTGGGGATAGGAGCTGATGACGCGTTTGTCTTCACCGATGTCTGGCGCCAGGCAAAACAGAATAATCCCGGTGCACCTTTGACGCGAATCACCGCTGACACCTTAAGGCACGCCTCTTTATCAATGTTTGTGACGAGTCTTACTACAGCAGCTGCTTTTATTGCCAATTTTAGTTCTCAAATTACCACTATCAAATGTTTTGGTATTTATGCTGGTATTGCCATCCTCTGCAAGTTTAGTATGATGGTCACGTGGTTTCCTGCTGTTTGCGTCATCAATGAAAGTGTGCAGATTCCATGGCCATGCGCAGAGAAGTCTTCGATCCATAAAATAGAACTTTTATATCAGAATTACGTGGCTAAATCTGTGCGCTTTGTGTTTAGTGATTTTCTTCCGAGAGTGGTCATAAAATTCCGCATTTTCTGGATTTTGTCGTTTTCGGTTCTTACTTTGGGTGGCTTGGAGGTTCTTCTTTTCAAGCCTGGATTCCATCTGCCCACATCATCTGATTTTCAGATGTTTGAATCATCACATCCCCTTGAGGCTTACGAACTCCATTTCAAAGACAGATTCCGTTTCGAGACAAGTTCTTCGCAAGGTAGTGCCACTTTTCCCATCGATTTTTTCTGGGGAATTAAACCAGTCGACAACGGTGACTACCTGGATCCCAACGACTATGGCACAATTGAGTGGGATGAATCTTTCGACATAACAAATCGTGAATCTCAAGCGTGGCTGATGAATTTCTGTAGAAAGCTGCGCAAGCAAGACTTCTATGGAAAGAAAGAAGGTGTAACAAGCTACTGTTTCCTAGAAACGTTCTACAATCAAAGCTGTACAGATCCGCTGACACCAGGAATCTCCTACTACCCTTGTTGCAAAGGTTCTCCTTTTCCATTTAATAAAACCATCCTGAACTTATGCGCCACAATAGCAGATGTCCGCGCTCAGATATTTAAGTATAAGAGACAGGATTCCATAATTGGAAACCTCATCTACGATGAACGCGGCAGTCTTAGAGGCATTCACCTGCGCGTTATGAGTAATGTGAGAATTTCCCGCGCATATGAGCCAGCGCACCAATTTTGGGAACGCACAGAGTCTTGGGTGATGAAGGAAATACGAAATGCACCAAAAGGCATGCGTGGGGGCTGGTGGATAAGCGGCATGGAGTTTTACGACCTACAGAGGAGCCTTTCTACCGGGACTTTAGTCTCTATGGCAATTGCCATCGCCATGGCGTTTGGTGTGATGTTACTGACCACGCTGAATATTCTAGTAAGCTTATATGCCATCCTCACAATAATTGGCATAATCTCTGTCACTATCGGCTCCTTGGTCCTTAGCGGGTGGAAACTCAACATCCTGGAGTCCATAACTATGTCTGTTGCTGTTGGTGTATCCATTGATTTTGCGATGCATTTTGGGGTAGCTTATTGCCTTGCACCTAATAAGGAATGTAGAAAGGCACGTGTGCGTTTTTCGCTGTCCCGGATGGGATCTGCAATCACCATGGCTGCTGTTACAACTTTTATTGCAGGTCAGTTCAAATAAGGGCGCTGATAGAGAAAAAAAAACACCCAGTAAAGAGAAAAATACAGTCGACGATATTCGTGAATTTTATTGATCAGACGACACATTCAAGACATTAAAATTTCAAAGAACCAAAAAGATCTATCTTTCTAAACCGACGGATCCAAATTGACCGATAATAACTGACTTACTGTATGCTACTTGACTGTTACAACCGATAACGAACCCATTTTCACACAATTGATCTTAACTTTTCACTTAAAAAAAGTCCTTACTTGGCACTATTGATAACTTCACAACAACAACAGTCGACAACAACCTTTTTCAAGGATACTTCTCACGCGAACGACCAAACAACAAGAAAGAATATCACCCCTATATTCAAACCGTGTATACCTTCTACTACGAACTACTACTAACACTCGAATTTTTTCTGATTACGATCAACAACAAGATAGATTGCCACTCTTGGGTTCAAACCGTCTATACATTCTACCACGAATCATTGCTAACACTCGACCTATCACTGATTACTATCTTATACGTTTAGGTGCAATGATGCTGCCATCCAGGGTCCTATCTTACCTACAGATGGGACATTTCCTAATGTTAGTGATGACCCTGGGATGGGCTTTTTCGACGTTCTTCTTCCAAGCACTTTGCTGCACGATTGGACCACAGGGGGATTGGGGACAATTTAGTTGGAGTGACATTTTTTCCTGGCGCAGTATGAAGACTTCAGAAGAGACCCCAACGAGAGAAGAAACAGTGTTGTTAAGGGAACACTGTGAAGCTGACGAAAATGACAACAAAAATGGCACAGTACAAAGGAAAATTGTGGTCAATAATACGCAAATTAAGGCTATAGAAGCGACCTCAGTTTAATGCAGGTTGATGCTTTTCATGTCTTAGGTATACTGGGCGATGATTCTGACTTGTTTCGGTGAGTCGCTTGCAGATAATTTTTCGTCTCTTTTTATTTAGAAATTAGAACCCCAAAATTGTCACGTCTTCTGGATATGAGTCACAGGGAAGACTCATTATCAATTTTCAATTGAATTTTTTCTTTAAAAATTATCTTTTGTTCAAAGAAAGTTGGCTAAATTTATCACTAGGGTATTATTTGTTATTTAAGATATGGGTATTTTGTTGACTCCTCGAAAATTTTGTTTACAAGAAACTGGCCTTGTGTGTTATAAGGAGCCTAAACAACAATACAAAGTTGTCAATAAACATGGATTTACAGTCGGGATGATTTCTTCAGTTCAGTTGAGTGAAACAATCGTTTAGACGCACAATCTAAGTCAAGATCCTTATACCTATAACTAGAGTCGGCCGAAGTCTGTAACTACATCGAGGAACACGTGCAAAATTTCCTCCAGCATAGGGTTTTATGCGAACAATTTGATTTATTATGTGACACAAATAACTTAAACTCTGCACTATTAAAACATCGTAATGCATTTACAAAAGAGGGAGACTGGTTCCTACTCAGAGCCAAGTTGAAAGGCACCTTCGGAGGGTCACGTGATCGGTTAGACACCCCCCAAGTCACGCAGCAACCGCACTTGTAGAACTACACAATACAGAAATTTAACCGTTCCCGAAATTTGGGTGGAACAAGATCAGTGACATTTGTCTCCATGTTATCACACAGAAAGACGAGGATTCCCTAGAAAATAAAAGTAAGTGTGAAGGAACTGATAACGCACGATATGACAAACACTTAAAGAATAAACGGTCTTAATATAAACAGAACAGGGCACAAAACACTCCCAATCTTCAGAGCATGCAAGAATAAAAATTCATCTACCTGGCCTTCTGTCAGGTCGGACGAAATCCTGAGCCGTGGTTGAGAGACGAGGTGCTACCGAGAGAAGTAAAGAAGAGGGTTTGAAATAACAGCTCTTAAGGTTTGAAACTATAATATTATGTAAAATGGTTTCCGTGTTTACATAGCCTGATGTAAACACTTGGGAGGTTGGGAGAACACTCGATGAGCTGGAAACCACTCCGCTTCGCGTCGTGGTTTCCTACGCTTATCTCGTGTTCTCCCAACCTCCCGCGTGTTTACATCAGGCTATGTAAACACGGAAACCATTTTACATTTCTTCAATAATACATACCTCCCGAGTGATGCTCGTGGAAGTAATGCGAGTTCACCTTCATTGGTGCGATCTTCTTAGCCATTTCTATCGTACGTAGCCGAGCAGAACTGAGTCTGTGGATAGACATGTACACAGTAACTACAGCGAGATCATGAATCCTGAAAAGTTGGTGTTTAGAACCGGCTAAATTATCTACCTTCTTTGTTCTGGTGAACAGAAATCCGTCTTCATCACTGAAGTCTCTGATGGTTTATTTCCAAGACTAATTAGAGCATCTTTCGTCAAATATTTCGAAAATTCTTCGTAGTCCACGAAACCAGTACGACCAGCATCGCACCTGCGATATAAACCGTTAATGCCCTGATTAGGTTTGTCATGAAGTTTTATTCCTTACTCTGGACATGCTGAATTTGGAACGGAGGCTAGAGTAAAGTCAGCACAAACATTTACTTTCCACTTACATTTCAATGAGTTTTCCTAAGGTTTTCTCCTCCATGTCGATTCCAAGTTTTGCCAAAACAGATTTAAGGTCTTCAATAGAAATTCTACCACTCCTGAGCAAGGGCAAAAAAGGGACATACTGAAGGTGAAAGACTTACTTATGAACAATTTTTCAACGATTAATAACTAGAAGAGCTTTAAGTAATAAGAGCAAAACATTAGAAGGTATTTTTAAGTACTCACAAGCTTGTATCAAAATCCAGGAAGGCTTTTCGCAAGTGAATGTTCATGGTGTCTCCTGAGTTATAGAATCTTGAAGAATGCAAATACAATTAATAAATGACAGAATAGCCACAGAGACACGCACACCACTTAATGAAGGAATTTTTTATGGATTTGGCACCTTCACAAAACTAAGTGGAAAAAACCAAACCAAATGTCTTTCTTACCTCTGTTGATTTAACTGCAACATTTGTTGTTGAATCGTGACTACCTTGTCCTGAGGGAGAGGCTCTGATACTCGATACCTTCCCTGCTGTGTTGTTTCACTAAGGAAAACCCAAAGAAATAAAAACATTGCAGACCAAAAATATAGACATCATTTGACATGAAAAATAATTAACTCTCTAACCTTGGGTATACATGGGAGTATTTCTGTTCAGGTCCTTCACTCTTCCCTGCGGCTGGAAGGGCTGGATCAAGTTGCAGAGACAATAAGAACTGGTCGTGCTGAGAAAAAGCAAGGTTTATTATAAATTCAATTATATTAAACTACTTCAATTTTGTAATAAAATATACTGCTCTTTACATGGGATAAGATGTGCACGGCAAAAATTTGCTGACTCACATCACTTAATTATTTAGACATTTATACATTTCCCAATAGCATTTTGTTTGAATTTTGAGGCAAGCATAATGTTATGTTTTCATGGGTATAGAATTTAATTACCTGTTCTGTGTGTTTATGTTTATTATCTGAGCCAAACTGAAAATGTGTTTTCCTGTTATCTGTAATTCTCTCAAGGCAATCATCTTTTTTCTGCTTTAGTTTGGCTGCTCCATTGCCTGTAGCCAGCTCTTCAATGGGAATAAATTCCTCCTGAACAAAACAAAATGAAAATAAGTCAGACATTTGGACTTCATTTCAGGAACTTAATCATCAGTACTGACATGACACTTCTAACATGTATAAGAAATGAAACTAAACCTTTGTCTCTGATGGTGAAGGCCACTCTGGTGCTCTGAGAAGGGCTCCATCACTGTCCAAGTATCGATATCTACTATTTTGTTCCCTCTGGTGGCTGAGATATGGATGGTCCTTTGGTGGATGTAAGTAACCACTCCCTGTCACTAGAGTGCCAAATGATGAAGAGGTCAAATTAAACACTGCAGTTTATTCTAATAAATATAGATAAACGCATAACACACACAACTGTCTATCATCAAATGGATGCTTATTACTGACTGAGAATAACATTTAGTTCTTTAACCACTTTGAGTGACAGAAATTTCTTGAAAGGAAGTGGTAAATTTACCATTTAAGGGACTTACTTGATGCTTGTCTGTCACCTGCATGACATTGTGCATCACATGATAAGACAACAGCAAGTGTATTGTGACGTGCCCTATTAAGTTTTGTCTCAGCAGCCCTTCCCTGCCAGTAAATAAAAAGAAACAAACTGAGACTGTAATTGTAACCAAAAGACAAGAAAACTTGGCACGTAATCCATGGGGGATGACCATGACAAGATGCTCTATCTATACAGTACAAACAGTACAATGTTGATCACCTGATGACAATGCAATTACAAATACCTGACTAATTTGAGTGATTTGAATCTTGTGGTCAGTGAAATCTGCTGTATGTGTTGAACAAGAGGGCCTACAGTCCTCCAGGTTTGGAAGAACCTGGTCATGAGTGGGGAGAAAGGAATACATGAATTAAGGTCAACAGCTATCTTTTCCTCATGGTAACTACTGTATTAAAACATGCAGCTAAAAAGAACCCATAGATTTAAGTTTTGCTATTGTATGTATTGAAAAATGTGCTAAGTTTGTGTGACAATTGAAATTAATGAAATGATAATGATGAATATTCCTTTTTTTTCCAGAAAAAGAAAACATAAACCGTAATCTCTAATTCATCCACACTGTGTGTAAGAATGAACTGAAGGAGCTATTTATTGATTTTCAATTGAAGATTGCAAGGTTGTATATGATCTCAATCGCTTCAGGGCACATAACATCATGTAAGTAAGTTAAACATGTTCTGTTAATCACCTTGGAAGAGATTGGAGGAGGAGCTGCTGGTGGTTTTATCAAGCACTCTCGCTTACTAAGAATAAAATCTAAGGGTCAAAAAGTAATTTGGACAAAACATCATGTGAATAATTTATTGCATGTTTCTCACATTTTACGAGGATAACAATAAAAACTGTTAACTGATATACATCCACCATTTTACCCCCAAGATGTAAAATTAAGAACAATTCCCCAGACTGTCAGTCATACATTATTTATAATCTATAACCTCTGATAGTTTGGCTTTAAATCAAACATTGTATCCCCTGGCTGATACAGTATCTTTGTTTCTTCTCATCACTTTTGGCTTAAAAAATGTATTGAAAGTAAAAGAAGAAGTTCTTTTGTGGACACTCCTAGGGATAAAAGAGTGAAAAGGGATGGAGTACTTCTGAGTAAAATCCACTGGTAAAAGAATAAAGCCCACAGTGTTTACATGTTCAATGTTACCTTTCTGATGAAGTGAACTTCTATCATCTGTGTTGGTTCCTAACTGCAAGCATAAAAGAAAAGCAATTTACACAGTAGGTATTTTAAAGGGTACTGCTGATCAACATGCTTGTTATGAATGTTACATTCACCTGTATGATTGCTGTACATCCCTACATACTCTGTAAGTGTCTTGGGTCAAACATTCTTGCAAAACTAGCTTCTGTTAGGGTAAATGTCATGAATTTGCATTTACCAACATTAACATCATTTTGGATCCATAACAAATAAAGCAAGGGATACAGTTTTACCTTTTAAATGACAGATTGTTCATTGGTGAGACTTACCACAAAGTGAGTGCTGCGCTGATAATAAGGATGGCTAGGATTGTCTGTAAGAATCAATAAACACATCATGGTAACACACAGGACTGCAAGGGCTTGATATTTGTATTCATTCCAAAAATAAAACATAAGGTTTAATTTTTATCAAAGGCCACAAAAATCAATTGTTTCTCAGCTGTTCCTCACATCCTTCTGAGAGTAAATATTGCAACGAAGACAAAGTACGTTGGAAGTCTTTTGATTAATACCTTTTGGGCTGATGGAAGGTACTTTGGATTCAGTGTATTCTAACTCATCTTTTTCCTGTTTTTGTCCTTTAGTATCTTTTGATCCATCATTGTGGCTTGTTGTAAAGGGTTTGATATGGAAGTCATCACATGTCACCGAATGTTTTATAAAGTGAGGTTCAGCCACATTCCAATCACCGTGTCTAAAAACACTTGATTTGTAAGTCTCCTGAGCTGTTTTGGAAGCCAGGTTTGTGCTTGGGCCAGGTTCCTTGGCAGAATGTTCCAAATTCTTCTCAAATGAGTGCCTTGTCTCTGTGCCATATCTGTGAATGAGAAAAAGGGTTGTTGAGTGATCATTGCATTAAAAAAAAATTATAACAACAGAGGATCCTTTGATGTCAAATCCCACCTCTCTAGTTTTGCTGCTTCCTTGGTACCCATATAAAAGTTGTCAAATAATAATAAAACTGATAAGGACGATATCAAAAGCAATTGTGGTCATATTTATAACAGTGTTGGCAATAATATACAAAACATGATAACAGGAATACAACCTGTAAAATGTGTAAAAAAACTGAGTTGTAAAAATTCATCAAGACTGAAACATTTTAACATTTAGCTCCAGATTACTCACCCATTTAAATCACTCCCAAAATAAAAATGAGATGTATTGAGATGGGTGGTAAGCTTTTGACATTCAGCTCTGTTTTTAGCATTAGAGCCTTGTGCCTGGGGTCCCTGTGAATTAGAAAAGCTGAAACCAGTTACATATTACAATACTCACTTCATCTTGAAATACTCAGCTACACAAAACATATCAACATGTTCAAAAGAAGTTAAGGTGATAAATAAGTGATCAATTACTAGATATTTAAAAGATTCAATAAATTTTAAAACTTACTGTTATCTGTTTTAAGAATGAAAAATCAGATAATGGGCTTGCTCTAGCAACATACCTTTGCAAACGTTCTGCTGTAAACTGATCCAGACCTTCCAAATATTTCATCAGACATGTACTTAGGAGAGAAATCCTGTTTACAGGTACAACAGACACATCAGTATGAATAATTATATTAACTAACCCCAAGCAGGCACTGTAAACATGTGTTATCCCTGCGGTTCCAAATATCAACCAAAACAAATGTACCCACTTACAGCAATGCTGGTTGACTGGCTAGGAGCAGCTTTGAAAGGAGCTCCCTGAAGCTTGTTATCAAAGTCCTTTGCTGTAGTTGCCAGTGAGAGACCCCCCTCTGAGCCCAGTACAAAGCTGGTTACATTTGTCTGCGCAAAGTGAAAGAGGAAGCAGAGAATTGAAAAGATAAATGATTTTCAGTCTTCATCAAACCTCATAGTCATGTAACTTAAGTATAGATTTCTTTGTAAAAGTAAAAGACATTTCTATGAAAGCAACAATAAACAGAGCATTAGAAGCATACAAATCAGGCGAAATGCACCTCCAAATCAACATCAGAGTTACAATTAAACAAGAGTTAATGTCATGCACATCTATTTAGCAAGCCTGTGTAGTAAGACTTTCCAATAATTAATATCAATACAATCTTTGTTGTCTTTCAATCAACTTACCCGCACGTTAACTTTGCCATGCTTGACATTTTTTCCAACGCTGGGTTTCTAGGAAAAACACGCGATTTAAACAATTGTAAATCAAGCTAAATTTCCTTTTAAAAAAATTATCGTCAATCGTTTCACTGCTAGCTATGTCCATGTCAAATCAACCATATCACTCGAGAATCCAAACTGTAAACAAATTATGACTCGAAGGTTTCGGCTGCAACGCGTACACGAGAGTGCTGAAAAAAGAGAAATGAGCAAATAACCCGCCTGATTCTAAGTACATAATCGGCAAAGTAAACGGTATTCTCTATTCTAGAGTAATTCACGATCACTAATTTCCAAATTAATTTTGCGGCTATCCAGTCTGGTGACCCTTGACGACCCGCTGGGTTCAGCTGTTGTTCATTGCAAGCTCACATATTTCTCTTACATCTCTAGATCCTTACAATCTGACGAGCAACTGATACTCCGTAGAAAAAAAACAACAGATTCTAAGAAAGTGTTAACTGACACGTGGCTAAATCCTACCTCAAAAGAAATAGAAAAGGAGGTTTTCCACGGATTCTTCTGCCGATCATCGCCGTGCCATTCTCCGTTTTGTAACACATGATCGCGCAAAAGGACGTCTTTGATTTCCGTCCGAGCACTTGTGCGAGTTGGACCGTAAAGACCCTTGTTAAAATTTGATGAGAACATCGAAATAAAATTGAAATGAAAATAAGAAGCCTTTGATCACTTTGAAAATATTTGCACTTTGTCTCGACAAAACAAACAGCGCAAACTGTGCAGGAATGTAAAGTGTCCTTTCTAAGTCAATTGCTAACAGTTGCTAGGTAACGTTCTCGAAAAGTACCAACTAGGGAGGGGTAGGTGAAACAAGTAAAAGATAGTGAGGGAAATTACAGTAAAAAAAACTGTTCCCTCTTCGACATTGTCATTCTTGAAAAAGAAAATGAAACAAAACAAAACAAAAAAAGACTTCCACAGATGAATAAATATCATGAGCATCTTCATTATCCATTCTCTTTACCTTTTAAACATTTACAGTGGACTCCGTAAGGCGCATCAACAGTCCAGGTACCATTTCTTTATTCCAGTTATCCAGTAGGTTGACTTAACGGTTTCAAGATGTTAAAAAGGTGATGACCTATGTGTGGAGCTCAGCATGAAAAAACTACCCTCGACTCAAAGATTCTTGATGAACAGAGATGATTAGTAACCAAGTTAGAACATGATTTCTTAACTATGGCAATAGATTCTTGAGGAATTGATCCAGAGGAGATTAGTAACAAGAAATTACATATTTCAAATACCAGAAAATTGTGAATCTCTTTATGATAATCACTTATTACATATAATGAACGCTTGTCGAATTTGACTCAGTAGTGAATTACAATGTTAAAAAGACCACGACTAGCTGCTATGTTCACACAATGATCACCATGGTTGATGATGGATAATTACCGTAGAGAACACGCCCCCGATCAGTTACTTTTAGCTGTTCTAGTGTATCGAATTTCAGATCGCTCTAACGCTCTGCCAGTTTTGAGCTAGTCAGCGCTTTCCCACCCACACCACCCTTACTGGTTTAGTTTATTGATATCTAGCGCCAATGTCTCGTTCTGCTGCTCAATAAACTGTCTTGCCCAAACATTGTAGTCTGTTTTTTGATATCAAGAGTAGTTTCTTTAAATTGATGATCAAGGATGAAAATTCTAAAGATCTTCAAATAATGGAGAGTTATACTAGTGATAAAGATGAACACAAAAATGCAATTACTTTCGGTTCCTATTGTTTCATTTTCATACTTAGTTCGCCGTTTTCAACGACTCATTTCCTTCTTGTAGTTGATGCTTTTCGATGACTCCAATTATCCTGTTAGTTTTCCTTTCCAGTTCATAGTTGGGTAATTATGAACGTAAAATGCACGTCTAACGCCAAATAGAACTGATTGGGGTTTTCCTAAAAAGAGTTAAAAGATTTCGATACCATTCTGTTTGAAGAAGACATCTGCAGATAAGCTCAGAACGAAAACCTTGTTTTTATCACCTATCAACTTTTTCAAACTACGAAAAACATTCTTTCAATTAAATTATCATCTTTCCCGTGCCTCATTAGCCGCCTTCATGTCGTCTTTTCCTGGTTTCGTGACTCTATATCCAATTAGCATCTATTTTTAGTAAACATTTGTCTAAATATAGATAACAATGAATTTTTCATAAGTATTTTAGCGGTTTCCAACGAAACCGACACGTACTGGAAGCCGTTCAAAAATCTCGTTCAATACATGAGGGAAAATCAGCGTTTTTATCGCAAAGTATAAATAAAATGTATAAATATTTTCGTTAAAGTCTTCTGATTGACTGCCGATAAGAACAGAAGTAGACCATCTGGCAGAGATAAGGCCACTTCGCATATTCCCCGCAGTCAGCCGCTGTCCAGTCAGGTGTCTAGCGTTGGGTTCTTGAAAAGAGGCTTCATGGAGGGGTTCGTTTGTTTTGGTTTGGAGTTTTAGGTGTCTTCTTTCTTTAGTTTGGCGTTAAGGCCGAGAATTAGAAGGATTTTGAGACAATGGTTAATGAATCAGAGGCTAATCAAGGTACACCTGAAATTGTACATTCAAATCAACTCCTCAAGGGATTGAATCAACTTCGCCAGCGACATGAACTGTGTGATGTTGAACTTTGTGCCGGAAAAAACAGAGTTTCAGCTCATCGTGTAGTCTTGTCGGCGTGTAGCCCATACTTTAATGCTATGTTCACAGGAAAGCTTCTTGAAAGCCAGAAACAAGTCATTTATTTGAAAGATATCGACGAAAGTGCCCTTCATATTCTAGTCGATTTCGCCTACACAGGAAAAGCTCAAGTTACACAGGAAAACGTCCAAGTTTTGCTGCCAGCTGCCAACATGCTGCAGTTAAACAGGGTCAAGGAGATATGCTGTCACTTTCTCAGCCAACAGCTTCATCCTAGCAACTGTTTAGGAATCAGCAAGTTTGCAGATGCGTACTCTTGTCAAAGTCTGCAAAAAAGATCTAGGAAGTACATTCAAGATCACTTCCAAGAAGTTATCCAGTACGAGGAATATCTCCTCTTGTCACCTTGTCAGCTGACGGACCTACTCCGCGACGATAACCTAAACGTTGTTTCAGAACAAGTTGTGTTCGAAGCAGTTCTATCTTGGATTAGGCACAAACTCCAGGAGAGAATATCGCTTCTTGGAAAACTACTTCAGAACGTCCGTTTACCTTTGTTGACGTCGCGTTTTCTTACACTGAGCTACGAGACAAATGAACTTATTCGGGCAGATAGAGCAAGCCAAGTTTTGTTACATGATGCTTTAAATTATAGACATATTCAAGGGAAGTGCCCTTCTTTTAGCACCACAGTCATCCCTCGACGTGCGCCGAAGCGAATCTTTGCCTTGGGGGGTAAAAATGGTCTTTTTGCAACTTTGAGTAGTGTAGAATATTATGAACCCGAGAGGGACAAATGGATTGAAGTGTCCAGCATGAATCTAAGAAGATTCGAGTTTGGAGCAGCAGTATTAGATGGTAGGTTTTTGTTTCGACTCGATCAAGACAACACAGGTGAACTTCAATGAGATATAGTTTCACTTCTAACAACATACTTTCCGATAATTATATCATCTTCATTGTAGATTTCAGACATAAAACTCTTGTAGGGTTTTATGAGAAATTAATCGTGAGATCTTTTGATCCTAATTTTATTACCAGTTACACCCGTTTGTTCAAGGGTAAAGACAATTTTAAGTCTGCAAACAAAATTTCATGAGTCGAGGAGGCAAAGCTCTGAATATTTTTAATTAGAGAGCATATTTCTTAGACTTTGGAACAAACACAACATTTTCCATGCCCATTACTATCCTTAAAGAACTGCAATTTTATTTCAAGTGATTTATAACTTCATCAAATACTTCACATTTCCATGTCCTTGACATTGTTGAGCATTTTTTCCTGTTTCATATGCTGAACTTTTCTTTAATTAGTACATTTTAATCTAAATTTAGACCAGCTCAAATGATCAAATGTCAGCCAGTTTACTCAGGTGGTGAATTAAATTAGATATTTACAATGCATTGCTAAGATTTTCAGCAGTCTCAGGAAAACCTTTTTATCATAATTTATGTGTTAAGTTTGACACATCGTTAGTTCAGACTTCGAGTCAAAGCATTTACAAGGTTGTTCCTACTATCAGTAAGTAGTATGGCTTGGCAAACCAAACTTGAGGTATCTCATCTTATAATTGATCCAGAAGCTGAAATTGTATTAGACTTTCATCAAGGCACTGGTTTCAGTTTTGAAAGTGTGCCATCTTAACAAGGCTTTCCCTTTGACCATTTTAGTTGCTATGTCACAACAATGTAATGCTCATAAATCTTCTTCTTCCTCTTAAAAATTGTCATACAACCCAATACACCAGTTTGTAACCATTGGTAGTTACTGCACCTATCTTAAGTGAATGTTATATTAATATAGCTGTATCTCACAGGTAAACTGTATGCTGTGGGTGGCCTGGTGTGTGGTGTTGGTGTCCACAGTGGAGCACCCTTCAGGTACTGTGACAATGGAAGTGAATGTTTTGATCCTGATACAGGGCAATGGAGTAGAGTACCTCCTATGAATCAGTGTCGCAGCAACCACACAGTGCAACCATTAGGCAAGTAACTTTTGACTTTTGATGAAATGCTTCAGTTACATCTGTGCTGTGTGTCTTGTAAGTGTTGGAGGGTGGATGGCATTTGTATGATACTTCTTAGGCCAGCTCTAGGTTATTAATTTTTCTACCAACTAAACACACACTTTAGTTGTGTGAGCAGGAGATACATCATTGCCATTATCAACATCACACTGCTAAAAAAGTTGGCAGGGTACCATACTATGGTATAAATTTTTTTTCCAATAGTCAGTGTTGAATTTCACTAACTTTATTAGGCAAGTTCAGTCTTGGTAGGAAACTCGTTGTCTTTTACCAACAGGTGGGTACCTTTATTCTCTTGGTGGTTATGATGGTAACTCTTACCTCAACACAGTGGAGTGCTACAATAGTCGTACCAAACAGTGGAGTCATGTGGTGCCAATGCACTACAGTCGCAGCTGCTTTGCCACAGCAGCATGTGATGGATATCTTTATGCTCTGGGAGGATACGGGCCATCTTATCTCCGAACTGTTGAAAGATATGATCCTGCTTCAAATTCATGGGAAATGATGCCAGCAATGAGCACCTATAGAATTAATTTTGGTGTTGGAGTTTTGAATGGATGTCTTTATGTTGTTGGTGAGATTAATATTTGATATGTAAATTGTGAATTTTTTTCGGATGTGACTGTTTCATCCATTGTGAAGAATTGTCAGAATTAATTCAATGTACTTTAACAGAAGTTTAATGCTATGCTTTAAATGTGATTCATGATAATTGCAATGTATGCAGCAAAATTCATTTGTCATTTTCATCTTGCACTAGGCGGTCACAATGGGGTGTCCCATTTACGAAGTGTGGAGCGTTTTGATCCGTTGTCTAGTGAATGGACTATGGTGGCACCTATGAGTCGACCACGAACAGGTCTTAGTGTTGCTGTATTGAATGGATTTTTGTATTCAGTTGGAGGACATGATGGATCAGGTTACCTCAATCTTGTTCAGTGCTATGATCCAAATACAAATACATGGCACAATGTTAAAAGCATGTGTTCAAGTCGTTGTAGTTTTGGTATAGCGACTCTTTAACTTTTGTTACAATAAAATAAAACATGCAGTGAGAACTCTTTTGTTCTAATGGACAGAAAATAATTATTAAGAATTGATAGCCCTCAATAATTCAGTCATAGGCAG